CTAGAAAGAGGGAATGGGTGAACCTCCAAAATGAAACAATTCTTAAAGCCACTCAAGTGTTGGTGTTATGAACAATTCTGATGCGTTTCTGATACAGCCCTTTCTTCCCAATTTAATTTCTTGCAGGAAATAATGTATAGACATATTGACAATGGAAGAGAAGTCTTCGATTTAATATTTTGGTTTTTAGTTTGAATGTGATTCACACAGTCTACCACTGGACTTTCGTTGTGATATTAGATATAACAATTACCTATCTGCTCTTCTTTCTGTCTCATCATTACAATGGAGACAACGATATTATCTACTTCATAGATATTTGGAGGATTAAGATATAATATGTGTAAAGAATTTAGCACAGTGCAAGAACACTTAGCAAGTATGTAATGTTGCTGTCATCTTCATCATCATCATGAACATTATCATCATTATTGAACTCCTCTAACTCCATTCTTATGATCGTGATACTGTTACAGTTGGGGCTGATTTGAACTTTGGTGTTGCCCCAAGACCTTGTGAGGGATAATGATGCAGAAATGTAGTTAGCATTTTCCCTCAGTTCTTCCTCATTGACACAGTGAAAAATCATAGGTCAGTAAGATTTAGAAGAGATTTATTAAAAGTATATTTTAGAAAGACAGCATGCCCCAAGGAGGCACATGGTTTTAGCGAAGAGCTGTAACAGAGTGCAGCAGAAACCACCAAGATAACCAAGAAGGACAACACAAAGAAGGACCCCAGAAATGGGAATGTTTGCATTTTATTTGTGCCATAATGGGTGGTTCCAAAGGTATTCCTAGGTGATTGGCAAGTGAGGTCATTTTGATTGACACTTGGCTGCTATATAACTCTTTGCTTAGTGTGCATGTGTGTAGTACCCAGAATTCTACTACCATGGGGGTGTTCTTTGGGCAGTCTCTAGGATGGGCCCCTATTTCTTTGTTCCCCCTATCACTCATGTCTGACTCGCTACCTAATGGCTCCACATAACATGAAGAGTACAGGGCCTTTGGCATTCTTCTCAATCTGGGAAGTGGCATCATTTATGGCATGAGTCATAGGAATCCTCCTGCTGATTATCCCTGGAAGTGTCAGGTACTGTGAATCAGGAGCTGGAAAGACCGGAAAGAAAACTTCTAGAGGATAACATAGCACAGGGCCAGCAAAATATGATCTAGAGGACAAATCCATCCTGTCACCTATTTCTGTAAATATTTATTTGAATATAGCCACACCCATTTATTTATATATTGTCTATGGCTACTTTTACGCCATAATGGCAGAGTTTAGTTGCACGGACACTCTATTGTCCACAAAACCAAAAGTATTTACTATATGGCTTTTTAAATTAAAAAAAATTGCAAGCTCTTAGTTTAGTGGGAAAAATGTAATAACAACATCTGTAAAAATGTTATTAAAAGATCTGAATAATTAAGAGATCCTTGAAGTAACAGAAAATAGTTTCATGGAGGAAAAACTAGGTTTTGAAGAAACAGCTGAAATTTGTAGGGGAAAGGGGGCATTTCAATGAGTGACTTTCGGGAATAAAGTTATGGAGCCATAAAAGGTATACTTAGAAGAGTGACAAGTTCAGTGAGGGAGGATATAGGGGAGGTAAAGTAAAAATCCGAAAGTTAACTTGTGGGTACCTATGAAAGGCTTTATATTTGACATAGACAGTAAATGGCCTGTTATATCAAAATTTTAAATCAGAAATTTTATTCTATAGGCAAGGAATGGAGTAAACTGATAAACATAAGGATATTTTAAGGAATGTACCATTCAGGGCAGTATGGAGAATAAACTGGAGTGAGGTTAGAGAAGTGGTATGAAAACTATTTACCAGGATGATAAACTAGTCTAGCTATCTGATGCCTTAGAATCATTCTTTTTTCAGTATTCTGAAATCCAACCCATATGTTCTTTCTGACTTTATTTCTTACAATAAGTACAAGAGAACATCCTAACTGGTCTTTCTAGCTCTCTGAAATAATTTCTAATATTACCCTCCCTTCCTTTACTCTACCCTTTAGTCACATAAAAATATCTATCCAACATTTCCCATATTTCTATGCCTTCTTTTATATGGTCACAAGATTTCTTCAGTTACATTGGCCTTTTCCCTCTCTAAGCTGTATAAATTCTAACTTTCTTCAAGACCTGGATAAATAGAACCTCCATTATGTTCTCCAAAGTGCAAGGCATGTCTCTAGAGCATTCTGCTCAAGTGAAAATTTAAGTATCTTCCCTTGAGTCTGTCCCAAACCTGCCCAAAGAGTCAAAAATGGTAATTATTAGGCTTTTTACCTACTAGGTGAACTCAGAATTTTGAGTATTCCTATAATACTATAAATTTACCTTTACAACTGAAGACATTTAACAGACTGAATATGCCTCAGGATCTAAAGGCAACTGAAAATTTTAAATTCCAAAAATATTTGAGCAAAGCCTCAAAATAATAAGAGGCTCAATAAGAGATTAGCTGAAGGGAGCAATATTAAATAGTAAGTACTAGATGTTGGTTACTAGGGGCCAGGTCTTGTGCTAAGTGCTTCGTATGCACTGTTTTATTTAGTTTCCACAACACTTCTACATACCATTATTAACATTAGTTTAAGTATAATTATTAAAACATTATTTGTGATCCTTCACATTCACATTGCTTTCCAAGCAAAAACAAATAGAAAGATTATCCAAATTATTTTAAAAACTACCTAATGTTATTAAAAATTATGTTAGCCACTGAGTACCAAGGCCCTAGATTCTATTTTGATATTTTCTCTTGATGGTAAAACTTTTAACAAATGTTACATAACAAAATGTGAGTTCTGTTCCAAGTCTAAAAAAATCTAATCACCAAGTTTCATTTTAGTGTAAAATAAACCAGTATTTAATTTGTCTACTGAAAGAGACAGTTGGTAACAGTACCAGTTTGTTTCAAAATTTACCCTTTAACCTATATGATTCTCAAATCCTTTACTGTGTATGTGAAGTATTTTGAGCAAACTTGACAGATTTTATGACATTGTGGCAGTTGGTGAATATAATAATTGAAAGGTATAGCCAACAAAAGAGCTCAAAAATTAGAAGAGCCAGTTTATTTTAGTTCAAGAAGTGTGTGTTTTATATATGACTAACATCAAACAAACCTAGGTGTCTAGATTTGGGAAGATGACAGGCTATTCAGATTTAATTTTAAAATCCTTATTAGTATATAAAGAAGAACAGTCCTTTAGACACTGTTTTAGGACTAAATATTGCTTTTGGTTATTTGAGAAGAAAATATGGTCTACATCAAAGACTGAAAACTAGTCATCTATGAAAAGCATCCATATCCATCCACAGACATTTTCGTGTGGTCTACAATGTTACAAGAAATTTGAACTAAATATCCACATTGAGAAATTGTGAGATTTCACATAAAAGGTCCAGAATTTTGACTGCTCTTGAAAACTCAGAATATCTGGCAGCACTAGATTCACATTCCCAAATGGCATTATTTAGCAACAAATCACTGCAGCTAAGGAAAGGCTGCTACTCTCCTCATATCAGAAATGAGCACTTCAGTTTGTCAAAATCGCCACCAAGTACTCTTAATTTACCTGTCTAGCCTCTGAAAAATGGACATTTATGACTCTTGCTACGTATGCTAACTAAATTGTTGAAGAACACACATGTCTGCATATTTCATTGTTAATATCCATTCAGGATTTCCAATGCACATTAACAAAATTTTAAAAGCACATTTGAATATTAAAATTTTTATCTGAACTACTTTCTAACAATAAAAGGATTTATGAAAGTATCTTCAAAATATTCACCCTACTTAACTAATTTATTCATTTAAATCAAAATAAAGCCAGGTCAAATATTAGCATTCCATTCTATTTAATGTCTCTCCTTTGAGAGTACCACATTCTTCTTTTATAATATACCCCTTCTGTGGTTATGGTTAGGTAAAAATTCACCTTAAAACGTGGCCAACACTCACGGTCTACTTTTATAACTTGTCCCTACAGTCGCATCATTAGACTCTTATTTAATATATCGTGTTCAATTACAGGAATACTATCCTGGGTAACTGTCATTATCAATCTTCCTAACACACAGCTCTGATCAAATCACCACAATTTAAAGACTAAAGTTTAAATTACTGAGTTTGGCATTCAAGGCTCTCTATTACTTGACCCGAACTCCACAAGCTAAACTTATTTCCCACTAATCTCATTCGCATCATCTTATACTCAGGAAGATAAAACTGACTTGATTTTTCATAGGGGGGTGTCTTTGACTATACCTCTCGTTCTTCTCACTTTAAATCTCAGATTACCTTAATTCCACCCATCTTTCAAAAACTCAAATTAAATGCTTCTCGGATTAAGTGATCCCAAGACCCTACTACTTTCTCCTCTCCACATAACTCTGATCCTGCACTGTACCTCTGTACTGCTTTTAAAAAATTCTTACTTTCTACTTTTTCTGTAGCTGTTTTCACACGTCTCTTGTACCCTACTTACGGTAGGACGTGTCTGATTAATCACCGGACAGTTACAGTAAATAAACACTTCTGGTCTATGTGAATAATATCTCTTGCTCTTGTTTTGTAAGATTTGGAAGGTTACTTGCTCTACTGAAACTGCTACAAAAACTTTCAGTCTGGCAAACAAATGAAATAAAAAACAGCTTACAAGTAGATTATAAATATTTACTGAAACAATGTCCTTTAAAAATACTGAAGGGATGCTGGCACTGTATTTATAAAACTGAATTTGTAGAAACACGTACATTTGTATTGAAAAGAATGTATTCAAATTATCTTCAAAGGACACTAACATAATTTTCACACCCCTTGCTTCCTTTGACATTTTCGATCCACTAAGTCTAAGCACGAAAAATATTACGCTACCAAACCATCCTAATTAAACCCATCCCTCCAATATTTCCTAGCAGGTTCCCAAGCTGTAGAATTTTACTATACTGCTTCTAAAGAGACTACTCACATTGGCCATTTCTAGCGCAGAAGGCAGACGCAAAATATCTTTCGTTTTGTAAAGTTATTCCTGGGAAAGGACAAAACAAACGAAACAGGCTTGTGATGGATTAAGCTCTAACAACAGACCGCTCGCGTGACGCCCACCATCTCCTACCGTGTGTTCCCCCATCACGACAGGATCGAAACCCAAGCAGGCCAGAATTCAACCCCAGCGTCCACAGGGCACAGACCCCCGCCCTGGGGAAGCCCGCAGCTCTTCGCCGGCCTGGTTTGCGCCCGCTGAAGATGACTCAGACTGGATCGAGGCGGGGAGTGGGAAGCCGGGGCCAGGACAGAGTCCCGGGGGTCCAAGCGGGCCTTTTAACACAGGTCCGGGCAGCCGGACAACTACTACTCGCCAAGGTTCGAGTCGAGGAGAAGGGTGAGAAGCAAAAAGAGCCTAACGACAGAGTGACAGGATGACTGGGGACAGCAGCAGGGGCCCTGTGGGAATGGGGGCAATACCGATAGCTGTGGCCCGAAGACGGGCCAATTTGGAGGGGCTACCGCGGGCGGAAACCATCCATACCAGTCACCACCACCGCCTTCGGCAGTCCCAGACCCCGACTCTTCCGCCGTCAAAATGGCGGCGGCGACGGCAGCCGTGACAGCGCCTACGCCGGCAGTGACCAGGCTGAAGAAGTCGCTTCCGAGAGCGTTGATGCGAAGGATCGTCGAGCCGATGATGCGCACGCGCGTAGTAGGCCTGCGCAGAGCCGCCTTCCGTTGGGGAGTCCCGGGCCTACGATGTGGGAGTAGAAAAGCTGAGGCGAGGGTGACTTGGGAGAACCGGGACGAGGGCTCCTGATGTGGCTTAGGCGGTCATAGCATTTCGTTCATCAATTCCTTGATCTATTTGATAGATTCCCCTCATCCCAAGACTTTCTTACGGTCCCCAGGAGATGATAGTCTTCTGTTCTTTGTATCTTAATTGTTTCTTTTTCACGAATCACTGTTTTGGGGCATACATAGGGCACTTATGTTTTTCTCTTTGCGTACCAGACCCATAATAGCCTAAAAAATATCTGTCTGTCTATCTATCTATCTCCAATGACTCGCTTATAAATAGTATATAATTTTTATTTATCATTGTATTTTTTTAAATAACTGAAGTCCGTACTTTATTAATACTGATAGTTCTAGTTGAGTCATGTTCGGCAAGTTACTTAGTCTCTATGTTTTTAGTTTCTTCACTTCTAAAACTATAATAATAGTGCCCACTTCCTAGATTGTGAAGATTAAATCATTTAATCTAACATATTAAATCATTTAATATACATATTGCTAACACATAGCTTGGGAATCACAGAGTCTTCTGAGAAAGCCCACTGAGTTGACTGTTGAAGTTACTTAGAACTCATTTTTTTTCATGCCTCACGATTTCTCTTTCGATTTGGCTTACTTGTCCAGGTTATATAACAAGATTTCTGGTTGAATGGTGATCGTAAGCTTTGTGAGACTGAGAACCATGTGTATTCATATTTGCCATTAGAAAATCATCTGTCAAGTCCAAGTGGGCGATAAAAGGAGTCAGTGATCAACGATATGGCGTGAGGCTGTCAGGAATAACTTTATAGCAGAGGTGATGCATGAAATGTCTTTTGAAAGATGCATAGGTGTTTCCCTGAATGCCAAGATAACATGTAGAAAGGTAAGGACATTTCAAGCAAGGGAAGCAGTGTGAGCAGAGAAATGGAATCCGAAACACTGTGGGCAGCTGGGGAGACCCACAAGTAATCAAGGGATTGAGAGAGGTTGACAGGGACCAGATCATAATCAGCCTTCAGCAATACTACGTAGATGTAATCCTGGAAGCAAAGAGAAACAACTGGGTAGAGTTAAGCAGTCATGGCATTATCAAATTTGTGTCTTGAGACAATCCTTTGGCTTCAGGGTAGTGGATTGGTTTGAGAGATGTGAGATTGGAATTGGATCAGCCAGATAGGAAACTACTGCTGTGTCCATGAGAACATGAGAGCCTGATCTATGGGCAGGGGAATATTGAGGAAGCAACATGGCATAGCTATCTACTGGTTGCAGATGAAGAAAAGGGAACGAGTTGAAAATGATCCTAAATTTTTGACTTAGAATAATTGATGAATGGATTTGCTTTTGCTGAGATTGGGAATATTAATATTTGTGGAATGTATGCTATCTGGTAGCTCTCAGAGGTTTTCCCATTGCCTATTTTAATTCTCATAACAATCTAGAAAAGAGGTTTTATTATCTTCATGTTAAATATGGAGAAATTAAAGCACAAAAAAGTTAAGTGTATTACTGAAGCTTCCAGAACTCTATTTAAACTTAGGTCTGTTTTATTCAAAAATAATATTCTCTTTCCCATAGGTATTGTCTCCCAGAAGCAGAACAGGTTTTAGGAGAAAGATAGGGTTTGGTTTGGGATATCTTGAGTTTTCAGATGGCCAAGGGGGCATTCATGTGGAATTGTCAATAAGTAATTTGATAGTAGTCCTATTGCACAGAAAGTGTTTTATGTGGGAGACAGAGATTTGAGGGTCATTGACAAATAGGTAATAGTTAAAGCCAAGGAACTCCTTCACTTGGAGTTCAACAATGGACTTTATGGGAAAGGAGGATGGTCTGTGAAACTCTTTAAAATATATGCACATTTTTTTGTATATTTGTAAGTAGAACCATTATACCTCCTGCCCCCAGGGAGAGGGTGCATAGCTTTATCATATTCTTAAAGGAATTCATGACTCTGAAAAAGTCAAGAATCACGAGTGTAGAAAATAAAAGAAAAGGGCAAAAGTCAGAACACCAAGAAATATTGGTTAAAGGGTAACAGAAGAAGAAAAACTAGCAACAGAGACTGAGAAGTTCAGTTTAAGGATGATTTCAGTTCAAAATCAAAGCAGGGGAGAGAGAAGGAGAGAGGGAGAGAGAGAGAGAGAATTCTAGACATCAAGACAATAATTGCTCGATAATATTAGATGCTGCAAAAAGGTCTTTTTGAGAACCAAAAAACAGTCCATTGTATTTGATAAATAGGGTAACATGTCTTTGCCAGAGGTGTTTCAGTGAGTGAGGTGGGGTGAGATTTTGATTACCATGGTATTCAAAGGCTCAAACATAAACCTTTTGAGGACAGAGACTTTATTTGTTCACTATATTCCTGGGACTTCACTGTATCCCTGCCACAAAGAGGCGATCAATAAATATTTGTTGAAAATTGAACAGATGAAGAAGTGGTGACCATTAATAATAAGCTACCGTTATTAACAGCTGCTTTTTGCTCTATTTCTAAGTACCATACCTGTGTTAACATCTATTAGTGGGGAAACAGTAGTGTCTCCATTTCATAAAAATGAAGAAACCGAAACTCAGAGATGTGAAATAAACTGCTTGATGCTATACAGCTACATGTAGCAATGACTGAGATTGAAACTTGGATTTGTCTGGCTCCAAAATCTTTACTTCTTCCACAACAATAAAACTTCGGGGTAGAGAGAAAGGTGTCTCTCAGTTGTTATTCCAGTTTTCCCTTATTTATTTGCTATCTTCCTTTCACTCTCTCTTGAATTCTTATTCTTCAGACACAAAGCAGAGTCTTCATAGAACTATAAAGATTGACCAATGTACCAGATTATGAAATTTTTCAGAGACAGATATGTAATCCTTGGGCTTTTTTCCCCTCATATCACTCTCTTAGCTTCCTACATTAATGCTTTTTTGATAAACATATTGCTTCTTTTTTATTCTAGAACATACTAATTCTCAGTAACAAAGGATGCATACTTAAGCAAACTAAGGAACATGAAGTCATCACTAAGAGCTCACAAAGGCCATTGTTTTGCAGCTAGCTCTTTCTATAAAGACAATAGGATTATAAAATCTAAAGAGACAAGAGAGGATATTTTCTGCTCAACCAAGCATATCTGAAACACATTAGGAGTTTGGAGACAATATTCTGTTATTATAAGAAAGGTTGCATGAACTGGTTGCAAGAAATGACATGTAAAAGAAAGATAACAATAGAAATTTAAAAAGGGTATAGATAAAAGAAAAAATATATGAACAGTAGGTTTTTATTCTTTAACTTGGTCACAGAACTCAGTTGTTGAGAACACATTGTTTTGTGTTGCCTGCATCAGTGCTGCAAAAGGTCTTTATTCTTCGATACATTAAGATAGGCATATGTTTTGTCTGTTTCTAGACAACTCAGGGTTTTTCTAGATACATTTGGTTTGCAAGATATTTAATTTTCATTTGCATCTCAGGGATTGAAAGTCTTATGTAATGTCCACATGAACATTTTTTTATTTGTAAACACTGTACCATACTGAGACTTGGACATTCAAGTCCTGGCTTTTTCATACAGCTCCATGTGGATCACCATGACAGTCTCTCAACTGTGAGCCTTTAAACAGGCATAAAAATACCTACAGAAGGGTTGTCACCAGGAGGATCCAGATAATATATGTGATATGATTTATACATTTTAAAGTATTAGATAAATGCAAATATTGTTTTAGTGCTTATAATGTTGGGCTTTGCTTTTATATTGGTCTGTGGAATTCCACTAAAGCACCATTTCCATAAAAATGACTCTTAGCAAGTTGTAATGTTGCTGTCATCTTCATCATCATCATGAACATTATCATCATTATTGAACTCCTCTAACTCCATTCTTATGATCGTGATACTGTTACAGTTGGGGCTGATTTGAACTTTGGTGTTGCCCCAAGACCTTGTGAGGGATAATGATGCAGAAATGTAGTTAGCATTTTCCCTCAGTTCTTCCTCATTGACACAGTGAAAAATCATAGGTCAGTAAGATTTAGAAGAGATTTATTAAAAGTATATTTTAGAAAGACAGCATGCCCCAAGGAGGCACATGGTTTTAGCGAAGAGCTGTAACAGAGTGCAGCAGAAACCACCAAGATAACCAAGAAGGACAACACAAAGAAGGACCCCAGAAATGGGAATGTTTGCATTTTATTTGTGCCATAATGGGTGGTTCCAAAGGTATTCCTAGGTGATTGGCAAGTGAGGTCATTTTGATTGACACTTGGCTGCTATATAACATTTTACCTAGTACACATGTGCTTACTCAGAATTCAGTCTGTTATAATTAGATTCATAAACTTCCAGCCATAAACAATGTATTGTAATGAAGCTTAAATTTTGGACAAATTTGGATGGTACATTCTGTGCAGGTGTCTGTAGCTGGATTAGGCCAGCTAATATTCTGACCCTCCTGTCCTTTGTCTCTGTGGATGCAGGAGGGATTCTCTAACTACCAATATGATGTTCTTCGGGTGGTCTGTAGGCTGGGCCCCTGGTCCTTTGTTCTTCCTGTCGTTCATGTCTGACTAGCTACCTAATGATGGTGCCCTGGGTCTTCCTGTCTCTTTGGTGCCAGGAAATGGTTTGGTCCAGAAAGGAACAGGCATGGGTTTAGGTGGGAATTTCTTCAGGATGTTGGCCTGTTTTA